CTGATGGCAGTGGAAGGCGGGCATTACCCTTTCGCAGTGGAAGGCGAACATTACCCTGTCGCAATGGACGGCTTCTATCTATACCTCTTTCAACTCGCTCAGTCCGCTCCGCTTACTCATTTGCGGTGGAAGCACTTCTATGAAGTCTACCGTTGTGATTCAAGTGGAGTTCGTACGGAGCCCGCTCCATTCGCAGTGGAAGACGGGCATAAAACGGGAAGACTATGCGGTAATAAAAAAATATTGACGCTTAATTTTTGTTGAATTTAAAAAAAGTTAAAAGAAAGAAAAAAAGTTGTATTTATATGGTTATCCACAAATATTGAGTTCTATAAAACTTAATTTAGTACTTTATGATGTATTAGTCGCTAAGTACTGGTTTTCACAAATATAAACGTCAGAGTCGATACGCTAAGAAGAAGAATATTCGGTAATTCATCTATTCCTTTCACCGCTATTACTCCTGGGAGATAAACATGCTGACATCAAGACGTCGTCCGTCATCGAACTTCAGGTATAATATTAATGTTCAACGTGACCACACCACACACAACAATAACACTCCGAATTAGAGTGTAGATGGCGGCAATGGTACTCTTTGGAAGCTCGATTTCTATCATGCTACATAGCAACACTTCCGGCGAAATTTCCGATTTCCCTCTCAACCAATCGGGTTACATCCAAAGACCAGCGTTCCATATGTAATACCTACACTTCTTTTTAATTTAGGTATTACGGACAGCTCTCTGTGTACGGAAGAGGAGGAAAAAACAGCAGTGCATATTCTACTACAATGCTCCGGTGTTGCCAACCACAGAGCATTCTCAAAAGCTGATTCGCTGAGGTCGCTCCTCGAAATCTTCAGTAAACCCAAATGCTAAGATTTCTGGAGGAGCTCGAGTGGCACGAACAGAATCCTACACTCATACATGCAGAATAGGCGCTGCGACGTCGAATTAAGTTAAACGGTGGTTAACCCGAATTACGTAACGGAAATACAGACTGGGCATGTCTGACAAACAAACTCCTACATATCTCCATATCTTCTTTTAAGTGTTGATGTTGAGGACATGATGAGAGAATTCTAGGCTAAAGAAATTGATACACCGTAGGTGATACCATAACAAATTCCAATTATATTATGATAACTTTTAAGGTTCGTGGAGTAACATGGAAAACCTGCGCCGGTACTTGTAGCTTTTTTACTATGGTTTATATAATTTTGGGTGAATAAAAAAATATTGTTTTAAAAAAATAATACTGTAACTTTGGTAATGGTATTTGGCGGTTATCTAGTTTAAAAAAATAATACTGTGACAACGTCACAGTACCATTACCAACGGGTAATGGTACTTGACGGCTTTCATGTTTTAAAAAACAATTCTGTAACGTTGGTAATGGACTTTGGCGGTCCTCTTGTTTTAATAAAATAGTACTGTAACGTTGGTAATGGTATTCGGCGGTTTTCTATAGAGGCGTCTTTCAGTCTAATTCATGTCGACCAGTATATACCATAGAAGGTCGATAATTACGAATAAATATTAGAACATCACTGTAATAAATAAATGGTTTTTGATTGTAAATTAAACATTTATTTAACCGTAAACCTATTTTTAAGATGGCACTGAGGCAGCTTTGTCGTTTAGAGCACGAGTTAGTATAATGGAAAGAGACCATAACTTCAAATTGCCTTTCGGACTGTAGTTCCTAATTTGAGGAACTATTTTAAAATTTGTATGAATATTAATCCGTCAGAAACGCAATAAAACAAAAAAGTAATGGGTTTTTTTATTGCCAGTACATTTTGGTTGCTCTGTAACTTTTTTTCACCATTCCAGAAAATGAACTAATCTAATCTGTAGCATAATATTGATTAGATTATGAGTTAATCCATGATTTTTTCTATTATTAATTTATACTGATTGATTCTATTTTTTATTACGTCAAGAGTAGTGTTGCTCATAAACTATCCCACACACTTAATATCAACGTAGCCGAGTTATTTACACTGCCTGGGCATAAATAGAGTAACAGCAAAGGTAGGCAATAATAGATATCAAGACATCACAAATATTATTGAGCCGTTATTATTACTTATTAATAGTCCAATACTATGATTTTTATTATAAATCTTTTGTTTTATTGTTTAACGCCTTTGATAATTGATATCGTATGTTTTAGTTAATGAAGAGCGAGATCTCCTGCAACAAGTATTCAATAACTTATTAGGATGGTCTCAACCTCCGTTTGGTTATGCCCTTTGTACTTCAATAAACACTTTTAGATTTTTTTATGAAAACGAAAGTTGGGATAAAATTTAATTATCAAAAAAGGGACTTGAAAACACATGAAAAGTGAGATCTAAAAAATAATATTTTTCATTACTTAATCTGAAAAATTAAATATGATCTTCAGATAATCGTTTTTTAAATACGCAGCGCGACGTACCGCGATGTTTACAGACTTACAGGCATTCATTTGAATTTTGAATCTGAATCATATTTTGATATCTGTGACTACCCATATGTACTGGCGATTCGCAGAGTATTAATCACAACTTTAACTCACCTACGCTATGCAACGACACCGTACTTTATTTTTAGTAGATGAAGTTTAGTCGCCCGTAATTGTTTGTATGTTTTGCGAGGGCAATTAACAAATCACGCGGGAAAAAGTTTTATTATAGACAACTTTCTCTGGCATAACAAACTACAAATGTTGTTTCTAAAAAAGTTATTCAATACTTTATAACGAATGCATAGTCATTCACAATAATTTCTTGCAAAACTTTCATGCAATAAAAACCAAAGCTAACTCAACGCTGTGCACAGTTACACTGGAACTTAAATGAAATATTCTTTATAGCACATTAAAATTACAATGACAACACAGAACAGTAATGTAAGTATCACAAAATAAGCTAACGTACAACTGGCGGGCTTACTGCCAAGTAGCAATTTCTTCCAGACAACCTCAGGATAGAAATTTAAGAGTAAGAGTTGGAAAGGAAAAAATATCTTGTGATGAAAGTATTTTAAATAAATACACTACAATTGTCGTTCACCAAAGACTGTCACTCATACAAGACACAAACACTTTTTTTCCATGCTCTAAGCACCCGTTACTACAAATACATAACCACAAACTATCCTAGAAAACACACCACATAGACCACGCTGTACTCATTCACTACCTAATACACATTCCAGTTTCCAACACACATAATCTACAGACATACAGAAGACTATAACTGAAAAAAAAATTCGTAAATGCACAGAACTCATATATGAAGTAACTAGAATTTGGCAACAAGAAATAATATGTATGTTGACCATATTGTTCTTTCCATAAAAAGCGTTATCCCTCATCGTCTTCTCCATAGTCCCAAATTATTAGATTTTATGGAAATCCTGTAGAAAACCTTGCAAAAAACTGTAATTGTAAATAATATGCCGAATTGTCAGAAAGATAGAAAACTACGTAATAGGGTCGTATTACAATACACCCAGTAGCCGTAGAGCTCCTTGTGAAAGAGTTCGTCCAAGGTAGTATTGCCACCTTTGTCTGCCGACAAGCAGTAATGTGAACATTATTGCATTCCAGTTTTCAAGGGTAGGGGTGCTGGTGAAATTACCGACACATGTAACTTGTCAACTTATGTCTCAGGGTGACGGG